TCGTGCACTTCTCTCAATCAGGAGTATCCACAGGGCTGGGGTGAGCTTGGCTTTCACTTTATAGCTGGGTGCCGGGGTCAATCGAGGCGGGAGAGGTAGCAGTTCTGAACTTGGAGGTGGAAGGGACCCTGGGGGGCTGGCCTGGTTCGCTCACACAGTTCTGAATCAGACAGAAACATACCTGTAGAATGCTGTGCCCAGGGCCGGGCAACGCCGGCTGTGCGAAAAGATAGTCATGGAGCGGTCACCGGATCAGCGCTCAAATTGGAATTCAAAATTGCACTCGCATGCTAAAGGTCGCAGGGGAGCCAAGGGGGGGGGGGCACGCGCACCCCTCCCCACACCCAAAATGAACGAACACTCCATAAAAACCATCATAAAGCCGAAAACTCGCCAGGTCTTAAATGAAAACCCAAGCAAGAATGCATCCAACCAACGAGAACACACATCATGCTTGCCTCTATAATATAAATGAATGAAAAAGAAAAAGCCCATGCCGGAGGCACAGCCACCCGCTGCTTGGCCAAGCACCTTTACAGACAGCCAACAAGCCCCCGAAATTCCTCGAATTAGAGAGACTCCGCTTCTCCAATCTGACGCCTTCCAGCACCCTGTGAAAGCTGGAAAATTTGCTGACCCGGCTCCATAGGCCATAGGCCTTGGGGGTAGTTGGTGCACGGTGTATATTCTGCCGTGGTATGCGGAGGGGTTTTCAGGAGGTGCGGTGGGAATTTCGCTCGTGTTCCAAGAGCATACGATAACCAGTGCATCCATGCCTAACCCATCCTAACCCATAATTCCGTCCATGTTCTCTTGAGTGCGAGTAGGAGAGCATCCATGCCCATACCATAATTCCGTTGGGGTCCAAGAGCATACGATTACCTTTGCATCCATGCCGAACCCATAATTCCGTTCATGTTCTAGTGAGTGCGATGACGAGAGCATCCACGCCCAAACTAAAATTCTGTTCGTGTTGCAAGAGCATACGATAACCAGCGCATCCATGCCCAGGGGAGAATTCCGTTCGTTTTCCCAGAGCATACGGAGTATACGATTGCCAGTGCATCTATGCCCGAACCATGATTCCGTTCGTGTTCCAAGAGCACACGATAACCAGTGCATAACACTCCTTCCTAGCGACGACGTTGTTCGCTTGGGAATTTCCATGCTATCCTTAAAAAAAAGTAGTTCGCAACGTTTCAAAAAACAAGTTTCGTACTGTATTTTACAACACGGAACGTTTTTTCTACACCCAAAATGCTCAAACATCGTGCATTTTCCTCAAACTGAAAAATACTGGCACTTTCCAAGCGAACAGCTCCCTGTTTGCAGTTCTCTTGGATCTCGAATGGCTTTCGAACCACGGCGGACTACATATCGTGGACCCAGTTTTCAAAAGCCTCTGTGCTCATGCTGTTCATGATGCATTTTTGGGGGGTCCTGACGAACCGCAAAGATCCTTCCAAAATCCCTTCGTGTGGGGGAAGCCTCTGGAACACATATGACTTCGAGCTTGGTTTGGGGATGGGGGGTTTGGGAAGGCCCCTTGGAGAAACCCAGGTCCAATGACGTGGGTCGGCGGCGCTGACGTCTGGGAGAGCGGCATCAACCCTGGGGCGTTGCCCGATGTGGGTCTAGCGGCAAGGGCTGTCCCTCCCGCCGTCCTAGCCAACAGCAAGAGGCATCAATTAACAAGTGCAGCAACTCACAAGACTAGCAGGCATAGTAAACAACTGACAAGAAATACATCATAGTAAACATCCTAGTAGAAGTAGCAATGGTCGGAATCGTAGTGGCGAACGACAGGTGGGGCCCGAACAGGCAAAACGGACCCCTAGCAATGCTGATGATGCTGAATCATCAGCATCAGGGTGGGGCCGTCTCTCCATTTGTTGGCCCTCCTGTGTGGCCCTTGGCTTGTCCTTCATTCCAAGCTTTTCTTGGCCCAGGCCCCTTGGGCGGGCCTTGGGGCTGAATCCTCGCTCATGACTCGTGATGCCTTCTTGAGGGACCCGCAGTCAAAATCCATCAATCAGGAATCCTTTCGTGGATCGGGGGAAGCTTAAAAAGGCGCGGGCGTAATTCAACCTGCCTTTAGCGTGGCAAAACGGACCCGAATAGTGCTGATGATGCTCGGCATACAGGGCGCGCACGAGCGCGCGCCTCGTACGCGAGCGTCATCAGCACAATTGGGGGTCCGTTTCGCTACTCAACTGTTCCCGCCGCTTAAAATGCCTTCCGCCCCACAAAAACGGCTTTTCAAGGAACCGACCACGCAAATTCATCGGTGCCGCCATACAAAAGCCCGCGTGCAGTTATGAAAAGATCTGAAAACCCGCCAACAGCCATCGTAACCAGCACGCACGCTAGACCTGAACACCCGCACGCAAACCCCATAAAACCTGCATAACACCCGCGTAAAATTATCATATATCCTGCGACAGTATAGTAGGACAAACTGCTAAACTGCTTCGGGGCAAAGTCCCTGGGCCCGCATCTGTTGGTTTTTAGACCCAAACGAGGTATTTCTTTGTCTGGGTCCCTCAAGAGGAGAAGTGGAACCCCCAAGGATGCTGATGATGCGGGCCAGGGGCGCCGGTATCAGCATCCTTGGGGGTCTATTTTTCCATTTTGGCATCCCCTGTGCCCTACCCCAAGACGGGCCTTGGGGCAAGTTTTCAAAACGGTCCGTGCTCATGATGCTGGTTTGGGGGGCCCTTGGCGGCCTGAAAAACTATTCAAAAATCCGGGCCAGAAAGCGGGAGGTGGGAAATGTGGCTGGGCAGATGGCCGTCAACAAAAACGGGTGTGTCAGCGGATTGGTGCAGGTGAGAAGGTGATAGGTGGTGCAAGGACTGTGCGGGGGCAAGGGGTGTGGAAGCGGGGAAGGGGCAGGGGGTGGGGGCTGGCGGGGGCTGGCGCGGAAAAAACGAAGCTAGTGCTTTGAGGGGAAGGCGGCTAGACAGGCCGCCAACTCACGTGAAGCCAAACCGAGTACTGTCAAAGTGAACTGGTGAAGCCGGCGTGATCGCTAAATGGTGGATTCCATATTGCTCTTGTGATCTTTTTAAGTATGCTTGGACTGGAACTTTTCATTACCAGCATTCTTGTTTCGAGAACCTGGTATTTCGCAAATTGTTGTCTTTTTTGCAGATGAGTTCACACCGTTGCTCAAATATCTTTCGAAAGATGTTTTCGCACTTTGCAATGATTTCAACTTGCTATTTAAGTTTTAGTCATATCGATTTTTTCTTCGTTCAGCAAACGGCTGGAGGGTTCAGGCGACCGCATGTGACTGGGCAGGACGGGCAGGAAACGAGCTCAGGACTGCACCGCACAACAGTAGACTGCCACATGAGAATGGCAGCCGCTTCAAAATCAACCCCCAAACAATGCATAAAGCAGGCTTCAGGCTTCACATGGGCCACCCATGGCCACCCTGCCGTGGCCACCATGATACCTGCACCAAAGCCGCGCCACATTTTCAGGTCAACTGTCGCACATGATCGCACATGCCCTGCTCCCAAATCAAAACGGGGAACCATGCCCTGTGCGACAAGCCCAATGCAGCTCCAACACGTTTTCGAGTTTGAGCATGCACTCGATGCTGTCCATGTACTAACCAGTAGTCTCTATTGCTCTTCGTTGCAGCAAGACTAGATTCTAAAATTTTGGGTGTTTGAGGATCCTCGATAGCCCCACAGCAACAGGCTTGGGCGCTCCAGGCTGTGTCTTCAGATGCTGAACATTGCCAGTGTGCACAATTTTAAGCCCCCGCGCACGTCGGAGGTACTGCTGAGCTGGAGATAGGAGGCTGCAGCGCCAGGCGTTCTTAGCTTGAAGACGAAGTTGTTCTGTCAGAGAAGCTCTGGCTCCAGGCGGCCGTCCCCTCGTGTTGCTTACAGGGTGCGCACCTGATCTGATCGGCTAGGAAGCTGACGGCACAGAGAGAATGTAGACGCTGCAAGTTAGACCGATGCTTTGCTTGCTGAGGGGTTCGCATTCGTGCATGTTGAATATGTGGACAGCAAGTGTACCAAGCACCAACGGATAACTTGAGAAATGTATGAGAGCATTCATCACAGGTAAAAATATCAGGCTCATTCCATAAGCTTTGCTTAGGTAGAGTCAGTCTTCTCGCCCCCAGCTTCCCCCGACTCCATGTCTTCTTCTCTTCACGGTCTTTTCTCGCCAAATTTATTGAGCCTCCGGAGCCTAGCTTACGCTGGAAGGGACGTCAAGTACGAATGGTTTTTGGCAAGGTGCGACTGTCTACATCTAAGCTCACACCGCCTGTTATACTCATGGCAAGCACTTGGCCACCAATACTTATGCTTCTTGCAAGCTACGATCCCTCAGATTTTTTTCCCGGAATATCGGTTCCATACAGATACCCTGACAACAGCTTCAGAAGCTTCAGCAAAGTTCAGTAGCCAGGATTCTTGGAAACAATCTCCGACAAGTTTTAGTTGTTGGTTCCAAGGCCGGAAAGCTTCCAAGTTGAAGATTTTGGAAGCTTACTGGCATACGCATGGAAGCAAGACTCTCAAAACGAAGGTTTGGCAGCTTTGCACTGGAAAGCATTTCACGGTTTGGCTTCGTTTAGGAGATGCAGTTTTCCACTTTTGGAGCTTGGGGGGTTCAGCGATGTTAGATTTCAGGAGTCAACCAGATTGATTTGAGATTCCAAGTTGCTGGCGTTGAAGAATTTTAGGGAAAAGGGTTGTTCTGGCTTGGACTTGAGGGTGCGACGCGCAGAGTATTCCTGGGTAGAGTGTCCCAGCGGTGCCAACGTGCTCAACCGTAGAGTATCCCTGCAGTGTCCAAGCGCAGCGCGTCTAGCCTCAGAGTATCCCCTCAGTGCCCCAAAGTTTGCATTGCCCAAGCCTACAGCCCCAGAGTTTCCCTGCCACGCCTACCCCCAAAGTCTCCCTGCCTGCAATGCCCAACCGCAAAATGTCCCTGCCGCGCCTAACCTCACAGTACCCCTGCTGCGCCCAACCCAAAGTATTTTTCAGGTTCCCTGTACCTTTGCAGAGCCCAATTTCGGGGTATTTCGGGGCATCCCTCGAGTGCCCAACCCAAGACCATATCTGAAAAACCCAAGCCTCACACAAACTGTCCCCAGCGGTAGTGCTTGAAATGTACAGATGTTATGTCCGCGCGCTGGCACAACATGTTGGAATATTTTCCATATGATTCTTGCTGATAGTTGATGATGGCCCGCAACACAAACTTAAGCAACTTAAGAGCGGGGATGTTCGAAGCATTTTTTTGCTGGGGGGATGTTGTAATTCAGAGTTTCTCATATTTCTTTTTAGTTCTTGTCATGTTTGAGATTTTGTGCATCGAGGATGTGTGTGGAGGAATTTGGGGCGTTCACTGTTTCTCATCGCTGGGGTTCACGCTTCACGGTCGCAGCAGCATGCTTCGTGGCTTTGATGGGTGTGAAGTGCGTGCTCGCAATTTGGCACTTTGCGCTCACGCCACTACGTTGCTGCCTGCTTGTTGTGGCTCCCGCTTGGGGCATCCACACATGTTTTCATCTTGACATGGCGCTCTTGCCACAGTCCGATTCTCGTGCTGCCTGCGGAGTGTGGAATTGTCGTTTTTTGGAGTCTGGATGTCGCGATCATCACCACTTCGATCAAGTTTTGGTATTGGCTTTCCAAGTCAGCAGCAAGATTTTCTGCTTCTTTTCAATATCGGCCGGGGTGCTCATACAGTTTTTTTTAAGTTTGTGCAATCGCGCAGAGACCATGCCCTAAAAAGTGTTGTTTGTTGCATACATACGATGTGCAGCAGAGCCAAGGCAGCACTTCTTCAACTCATAGCTGGTAGAGGCGAGCCGGGAGGGAAAACCACCAAACTCCCGAGCCTAAACCTCCAAAGAATTCGACGCCCTTACAAGCCACAAGCCACCAGCATGAATGAAACAAAGACAAAATTGCATGCAAGGAACAAGCACGCAACACAGATCAGACTACAGGCACCAGCAGCAGCAACAACAAGGAGCTTACCACAGACCTGAAATCATCACGTTGAAAATGCAGCAAACACGCAGCGCAAGATGCGGTCAGACACAGACACCGAGAAAGACGAAGGAGTCAGCACACGCGGCACACATCACAATCACAAAGGCAAAGCAATTGAAACATCTCCCAATGCTGTGTTTCAGACCGTTGCTGTTGCAAATACTGACGCCCATGCCCGGCACCCTTGGACCCGGGGGTTGGGGTGCGATCCTGTCAAAGCATCTCGAAGTAACTAAGCCCCACTCCAACGAGAGGAGTGCGCTTCACGCGAGTGCGCGACTTTGAGCCATCGAGGCATCAAAGGGACGACAGGTTCACTGTTTGCGACAAGCATGTGCACGGGCGCGATGGCCAGCCTACGTTGCGATTACCAGGAATTGCTCTGGACGCGAGAGCGGTTTCCAGCCAGACCGCATCCTCAGCCATGCCGGGGGCGCCCAGCGTCTACCCTCCCGTACAAGAACCCAAAGCATTCCCACAAGTACATAAGTCCATATTTTGTCATATTTCTGGATGTCGGCACTAAGACGTTGCATGTGTCTGTGTGTGCATGTGCCCCTTGTTTGCCAATTTCTAAGGCTTTTACATTGCTAGGGTTTACCCCTAGATGGCTGATCTGGACCGTTGTTGAATTTAATCTCTACTTGTTGTTAATGTTGCTCTCGGCAGTGACCCATCTCTGTCTAAGCTGCGCAATGACGCTGTGAGAGATGAGGTGGAAGCGGAATGGGACGCCATTCCGTGTTCTCGCTTTATTTGAACTATTTCTCGTCGCGGTGCGTTCATTCGAATTCTGGACTACCATCTAGTGCTCATCATCCTGCTCAGACGTGTGGTAACACAACACTATTGCGTACAAGCATTTTGGCTGATACAAGATGCCTCAGCCGCCTCAAAGCAAAAAAATCAGGTGAGGCAGCCACACGTTTCCTCATCCAATGCATTTGTCCGCCTGTCAGTACATGCCAGACCTGTTAATCTATCCTCGTTATTCGCTGGAACTTTGCTAGTCTTATCACTATGTTAACTATGTTATTATCACTAGCAGGCTAAGGAGGCCGGGTTCCCGCCGGCTCGAAATGGCAAAGGGTAACTCCCCTTTTTTTACCTTTTGTTGTTGGGCCTTACTTGCTTGAGAGTGCCCCGGTGCTCCATCTCCCAACGGTTGGGCGTTACAAGAGTAACGTTACGCAGTGGTCCCAGAGACCGACGTGGGCAAGCCCCCATCAGCAAATTGCGAGCCAATCTCAAAGTGGCCAAGTGCCCTACAAAAAACACAGTTGGACAACGTCCAAAAGGGCTTAACGCCACAGCGTGGCCAGTGGGGCCTAGCGTGACACACATGTGTCTTCAATTCCTCGATAGCAAGTTCGGTCGCTCGGGCTCATGTCCGTTTCGTCGTCCGGTGGGGCTTGTTTGAGCCATCAGGTTTAAATTGGGCTCTGTATTTTCGCAATTGGGTCGGGGGGTCGTTTGTCTTCGACTTGTTCGTCCTTGTGTTTGTTCCCGTTCCCTCGTCGTCCCAGCTAGCTCTTGCTTGTCCTCATGGTTCTTTTCGAGGCCTGGTTGTTGTTTAGACCCTCAACCTTCGGGGTTATATGTACATATGTGGTTACTCTTATTTTTGGGCCCTGTATTGCTATCAGATATTATCAGACTAATGATTCATTATTATCTGCTTTCCACAGCGTTTTTTTTTCTTTTTTTTTGTGTGTGTGTGCGTGCGTGCGTGTATGTACCTGTTGTTTGCCAATTCTAAGGGTTTTACATTGCAGGGGTCCACCCCTAGATGGCTGATCTGGACCACTGTCGAAGTGCATCTCTACCTGTTGTTGATATTGCTGGCGGATCGTTGATCTCGGCAGCCACGCATCTCTCTGGACGCCGTTCCGTGTTCCCGCTTTATTTGAACTATTTCTCGTCGCGGTGCGTTGATTCGAATTCTGGACTACCGTCTAGTGCTCATCATCCTGCTCAGACGTGTGGTAACACAACACTATTGCGTACAAGCATTTTGGCTGATACAAGATGCCTCAGCCGCCTCAAAGCAAAAAAATCAGGTGAGGCAGCCACACGTTTCCTCATCCAATGCATTTGTCCGCGTGCCAGTACATGCCAGACCTGTTACTAACCGGCTAAAGAGGCCGGGTCCCGCCGGCTCGAAATCACAAGGGGGTAACCACCAATTTTTTGGTGTTTCCAAGAGGCAACTAGACAGTTTCATGGTGTTGAGTGTGGCAAGTGGGGGTCTATTCCACCTGTTACTTGGCAATGGCCAACGACAAGCCTGGCAGCATGGGATTGTAAACGTACCTGAAGTAGGTGGTCCCGCTCTTGGATCCTGTGAAGCAGTTAGGGAGCGGCGGTCAGGCGCCCCATGCCTGTTATGGCAGCTTGGGACTCAAAGCCTGAATCTCCAAAATAGTTGACTGCACCCAAACAGGTCGGAAGCAAAGCAAGTATGCCTGACTGATCTGGATTCTCATTTTTCGTAGTTGTTCTTGCTACGTGTTGATTGCGGCGGTGGCGCGGTCGTACGAAAATCCGCCGAGCCGAGCAACCGAGCAAAGCCGAGTGACCGAGCAAAGCCGAGCAAAGCCGAGTAACCGAGCAAAGCCGAGCAGCCGAGTGAAGCCGAGCAGCCGAGCAAAGCCGAGCAAAGCCGAGCAGCCAAGTGAAGCCGAGCGAAGCCGAGCAGCCGAGTGAAGCCG